GTATGGTAAGATGAGAAGGATCTACCACTCCCGCATGATCGTGGAGGGAGGACGATTCACCTGTCCGGCTTCCGTCTGTGTGTAAACATAGATGGGCGCAAAATCAGACTAGCGAAACAAGAGGATGGGAAGTGAGCAGGGGGAACAAGATGACGTACAACCACGCACGCAACCCTCGAACGGAACAACCCCTCTCGGCACCCGCCGCGTCAAGCGCTTCAAGATAGACTAAAACCGGGTCCTTCGAGCTGCGCGCTAAGTTCCCGCGGTGGACCTCCTCGGCTCGCGATTCGACCACCCTCGGATGTGCTCGGTGCTACTCGGCACCCTCCGACCACCCTCGGCACACGCTCGGCAGCATCCCTTCGCGATACGCCCGCGAGAGACCCGTTCGTACTGTACTGACGACGTTACGCATACTCTGACACGAAGACACGGATATAGGAGAAATTGCACGTAGCCTAATGCCCGTATCACGCTGCAATTTCGCCGGCTATTCGGTGGAAATGAAATATGAAGTTGGAAATTTATTGTAGTATCAGTTGCGGTATGACAATAGCGCGTGTAGTTACGATAAATTTCTTCGCGATAAATCACTTTACGTCGTTCTTCGCTGCAATAACAATTAATAATTTTCAATTATATAAAGAAAATAAAATCTTACTTTATAATGTACTGCAACTTTTTATAAATATATTTTGCCAAAGCGCCGAACATGAATCTTTCTAAAGAAAGAGCAGAATTTATGATTATCTGATGGCTAGCAAATTGAATTCCGAGTATAATCAGAAATCACTAAAATACAATGGCTTATCAAATGTTTTTAGAATTTCATTAAGCAAAGGCTTCATCGTAATTTTGATAAAATATAAATATATTACAAACAATAGATTTTCTGAAATAATCATCCTTTTTTAAAACAAATTCTATACATAATCTTATAATCTATATTACTCTCTATTTAATCCTAATTCTTTATAAAATTATTTTCCTAAAAAAATATCAGTAAAAATGGTTAGGCCAAGTAACATCATGTAAAAGTGCGTGAGACATGAACAAAATGCGGATCTTTCCTAAAAGAATATCAAGGTAGGAAACAGGACATAGTGATATACAGCTACTGGGTTCGGTTTAAGCCGCCCCGCACGCGAGAATACCATCACCGGATAGTACAAACCTTATACCGTCTCTTTCCACTGATCTCTCATTCCTTTTCTCTGTCCCTGCTCGGGGGTTACGTTCCATAGCAGCCTTCAGTGCGTGCACCAAGCCCACATCGCCAGCCAGCGGCGCGGAGCGGGGCAACCAACCGCCATCAACCACCGACCTCAAAGAGCGAAAGGCCCGCGTAACCTTACGCCACCACTATCCTGCTCCCCGCAGCCCCCCGTCGCCGTCAGCCAGGCACAAATTAAATAGCCGTGCAGCGCGCGTAGCCGTTTACCCTTACTACTCCTTTACCGTATCGGTCGCGCGATGCTCTGTTTTTCATGCGTCGTCAGACTGAATTTCTCTTTTGAAGGATCTAACGGTTACTAATTTAAATCGCGAGCTTTTTTTCTGAGCAGTGTCACGCGATCGACTGTGTTATCGGCTGGAGATTGGAACCGTTTCAAAGTAAACCGGAAAGAAAAGAAATATAGGGTTTCCTCGTTATATTTCGGAGCAATGCAATTTTTTTGTGAAACAAGTATGATGTGTGCGTTTCGAAACGCTTTGAAGAGCGTTGGGAATGAAGAGTAGTTCGATGCTATCCGTTTTGATCTTTGTTGCAAATAAAAAATCTGTTAGCGTTTTCAGGTCACCCTATTTTGAACGGACCGAATTCAATTATTGGCAAAACTAAAGCCAATATGTGAACGATTCCTAATAACGCACAGATAGACATATATTAATAACTTTTCGCAAGAAAAGAAAGTAACAAATTTAATCTGAGAAAATACATTTAAAACTCTCATCTTTCAAATATTTACTGCTAAAATCAACAGCTATTAATTGTTCTATTAATTGTAAATATTAATTGATAATATAATTAATTATTTATTCATTGTTAATAAAATTATTTCCAAATAATCTTTAAAATGATACATAAACCTAGTTTCTGTTCAACGACAACTACATATTTGCAAATCTAGACGTTTCAAATTAGTATTTATTATATAAATTATAAAGTCGTCGAATATATCATCCCCTTTATGCCAAAATTATGAAATTATGTCAATTTTCCGATTTTTCACTAACATCATTTTTTACCCAATTTTGGATAAAGATTCTATGCCAGAGACGCGAATGTGATAATAATAGTAAATCAATGCTTGAATAATGTGAAGAAATTACAAGAATAAAACAAAAACCTGATTTTTCAGAGCAAATTGAATTTTCAAGTAGCAATAATTCTAAATTATACAATATAAAATTACACATTCATCGTTTTAGCATAAGGGCGATATATATATATATATCTTTTCTATTTAACTTTTTTATCTATTTAATTATTTCATACCCGTTCTTACTTTATTACATCTTTCAGAAAAAAGGTTAGAATTTCAATAAGATCAGAATTTGTAATAAAGAAAGTTCTTACCTTAATATTAATATGAAAAAAATACATTAGTACGAGTTTTAGATGGAATTAGATCACATTCCTCTTTCTGCCAGATTACATCGTGTAATATTAATTACAATATAATTGAACTAAATTTTTTGCATCCTACAAATCCTACTTGCCTCAATTTTTTTTTTTTTTTTTATTGAGTAAAGTAAAAGCTTTGGCCATTGGTCATACAGCAAAATTACTTGCCTCAATGAAGTGCGTCATCAGTGGTGGTATCTAGTGAGTTTCGGTATAATTGTATGCAACTAATATTACCGACCGCAATGCACTAGAATAATTGTTGCACTTTTCTGATTTATCATCAGCGCATATTCTGGCTGCAACTTCTTACGCTGATCGTAAGATTCCTTCAGAGGGCAGTAATGCACGGCAAATTTATTTTTGCGATATCCAAATTCCCAATTCATATGATCATCGCCTCTGATAGTATCTCGGTACTGTATTTTTATTTGAATAAGTTCCAATATTTTTCAAAATTAGGACTTATATAACTTCTACAACAAACATAGTTCTTTTAAACGTAGTTATTTCAAAAATAACAAAAATAATTTTAAGTATTAATAGAAAAATGTAGGCTCCAATAATTTAATAAATAATAATAATTGTAATATAATACAAATAATAATTTTAAGTGTTATTATATTTATAAATCTATCTTATGATATTTTTCTGAAAAATATAATCTATAGTTTACCAAAGTATTAAATTTTTTTTTAATTGCCTTTTACACTACGCTGACCAGATTCAGATGACTTTTGAATACTTAATTCTTATCAAGATATTCTTTGTTCTCTCTCTTAATAAAAGTGTGTCGTAAGATAATGAGTCACGATATCTTATCACGCTACGTGCGATTCTTTGGAACTTGGAACCTTTTCCAATTTCACTCTTTTCATTATTTTTCACATTAAGAAACTTGTGCGTGTTATACATAATTTCATTGCAGAACCAACCTCAGACATGGTACAGTAGACGTACATTTACGATGTGAAAGTTATACAAAGGATCTAAACGCCGCTGCGGGGAACGTCTCAAGGTTGACTGTTGTACGTAAATCACAAGGAAACTTACAGTAGACAGATGATCGCTGTCGATCCGTAGATACACCACGCGCATTTTCCTGTCGCATTTCGGCTGAAAGTTCGTTCACTGCATCATGGGCGCGAGTAATTGCAAGGCTTTCAGGAAGAGCACTGGCTCGAATCAGGATAAATCCGTCGCAACAGGTGTGTATTCTCTTGCAAAAATTAACTACAAAGAAAACTGAAAAATAAAAACTATTGTAAAATCCGAAACAATTTTTTGCCTTTATTTCTTAACAAACAACAAAATTAGTCTTATATTTCACATTGTTATATTAAAATTTATTTTATAATTGTTCTCAATTAATAGCTCGCATGGTTAAATTTTATCTAAATCGCTTTTTTAAAAATCTGCAAAAAATTGTTTGATTCTATTAGTTTTTAAATTCTTTTTCCACGTTCTTGGAAAAAGTAGGTCCGCTGTTGTTCCGAAGCATTCAATTAACAATGGGAAATTACACAGAGTACAGTGACTAGTTCGTTTGTGAAAAATAGTGTTTATTCTATGTAACACGAGGACGCACGATCGAATCGCAGTGACAGGTTTTTAGTGCCTTTTGCGGCGATCGATGCGGTGTGTCAGAACACTTGCGCTTGGAAGACGGTGGACTGCCTTGATGGACACGCCGTTTTTACGTCGTTTCCAGGGTAGGCCTTGTAATATTTGACGCAAAGGTAGAATAAAAGAAATGTAGATTACAAGAGTAAATGCTTTTTTTCTCAATCGCAGCGCACATTTGGAAAAGTATTAGAACGATATTGGAGCAGTTGCTTAAAATAAAAACACTTTTGATTAGAGGTTATAATGATTACTGTTTGGAAAATATGAATAATAAAAGACACGAATTATATAATGTATTTGTAAACCGGTTTACACAATCAAGTTTTACCGCCCGACGTTGATTAATGTTTATTGTGTTGTTGTAAAAAATAGAAAAACAAGGCGAATATTTTTATTTTGAGCGAAAACTTTTTTGTGCAAATTGTAGAATAAGTTTTTACTTTTGCTAATATCTGTTGCTCTCCTTATCAATATATTCCACTACACCATTAATGATAAATTAAAAATGATAATGAATATATCAAAAATCATGACAGTTATCAACTGTCATATCAAAGTGATTCGATTTAAAAAATGTAGTGTTTGAAAAGATAGAATGATTATTTTTCATATACTTTATATAAACGAAATCTTTGCGTTTGTGTGTCCATTGTCTCATACAAGTATCACTTTGTGCACACTTCGATAGATGTATGAGAAATTTTCTGCGCACGACGTATATGGATGTTGCACATCTTTGGACTTATGTATCTGTGCCACGTGCACAAGATACTAATTGCATCGTTGTGTCGTAACGTAATGACGACAAATTGCGCGAAACTCTATTTCTGACGAGTCATTTATTTCATTAGATCGTTTCGTTGCATCTTGAAAAAGCTCACGTTGCAATTATCACGGAATCCCGTGTTAAATCACTGACAACCGATAACCTATCGAGTGCAACTGTCATCACGTACGAGATAATGGCACTTGGAAATCCCCATGTGCTTTTCTAAATTTCCTTATTATATTCGATTATATGCTACGTTATTTAATAAACGCGAGTCATGTATTACGTAGTTTATTAACGAAGCTTTTTGTTCTGATATGGAGATATTCAGTGGGCAAATTGATTAAAGGTAGTATTTCTTTTTATTTCCGCAAATGAGTGTCATGAGCATTCTATTGTTTATGGACTGCTATGGAGACGTAATGAATTTGGTGGGCTATTTTCTCTTATTAGAAAATATCAAACTTCCATATATTGGCTTATGTATTCTTACATTTGACATACTCATGTGCTGTTTTTTTCATGTATATTTATGATTAATAATTGTAGAATTTAATGGTTTTTAATCGATGAAAAATATTCCTTTCATTATGTTCAATAAAAATAAAGAAAATAAAAATTATACTTGTAATAAGTGTCACGTAGCAGAAAATATTCCACAGAAATACAATGTATTACCATGTTGTTGTTCCTGTGAGTTACCTGTTGCTGCACCTCTGATAACATGTCCATAAAAAAACTATGATTATTGTTATAAATAATTTAATTAAATTGGATTGTTTTGTCTTCATTAGGTCCATCAGAGCACCATGACTACATCGAAGATGTGGTATGCAAGCAAGAAGATATCAACGAAAATGAAATGAAATTATTGCCGCTTGGAGAACATGGAGGGAAAATTCTATTGGTGAAACAGAAAGGAGAATTGCATGCAATCGGTACCAAATGTACGCATTACGGAGCTTTGCTACATACCGGTGCGTTAGGAGAAGGAAGAGTGAGATGTCCATGGCACGGTGCATGCTTCAATATTAAAACAGGTGACATTGAAGATTATCCGGGCTTAGATTCCTTGCCATGTTACAAGGTATGAAAATAAATCTTTCACAATCCTTTCCTGCATTTCTTTTTGCATGTATAATTGTTTAATATATTATCCCTATGTGTTTTAATAGGTTCGCGTAGACGAGGCTGGCCAGGTTCATGTAAGAGCCAAACGCAAAGATCTGGATATTAACAAACGTGTGAAGGACATGTCTGCGCGTGATCCTGAAAATGTGAAAACGGTTGTAATAATTGGCGGAGGACCAGCAGGTGCAACCTGCGCAGAGAGTTTACGACAGGAAGGCTTTACAGGACGTATCATTATGGTGTGCAGGGAGAATGTTGTACCTTATGATCGAATAAAAGTATCTAAAATATTAGATTTTGATGTTCATAAGGCAGCACTACGACCGCCCTTGTTTTATGATGATCACAAAATTGAGACAAAACTTGGTGTAGAAGCAATAGGTATGAAAAAGAATAAGCAATAATTAAACAACAAGTATTTAGTTAAGTTGCTTAATATTTTACGATATTATTTTGTTACAGGTTTAGATACGACACAAAATATTGTCAAACTAAGTAATAAAGAGGACTTGAAGTATGATTACTTGTTTACTTGCACAGGCAGCAAACCAAGGATGCCGAATGTGCCTGGAAGTAACTTGTCAAGCATTTTTGTGCTGCGAGATTATACTGATTCGCAAGGTGTATATTCACTGCTGTCTCCTGAGAAGCATGTAGTCGTACTAGGATTGAGCTTTATTGGTATGGAAGCGGCAGCTTATTGTATCAATAAATGCGCGTCCGTCACAGTAATAGGACGTGACACTGTACCCCTCAGAGCGATATTTGGAGCGGACATTGGCAACAGAATTAAAAAGGAACATGAGGCAAAAGGTTTTGTATAAATTCATTATGCATAGTATACATCTTTTATACATTTCTATAAGAATAATAAATTATTTTTTAGGCGTGAAATTTATCTTTCAAAATAATATCAAGCGATTTATTTCAAAAGAAGGAGAAGAAAATGTTTTAGCTAAAATTGAACTTACGGATGGTCAGATTTTATCAGCTGATATAGCCGTCGTTGGAATAGGATCTACGTTTTATACAGATTGGATGAAGGAATCATCTGTTCAAATGAGGGACGATGGCACTATAGTAGTAAATAAGGTATAACTTTTGATCTTTATATGTTTTTGATCATCCATCACTTCATATTTCAATATTGGATATCAAATTACAGCACTTAAGAACGAATATAGAAAATGTGTATGCTGGAGGTGATATAGCTTACGCACCAATATATGGATCCGATGATATGCTGGCTGCGATAGGCCATTATTCCTTAGCTCATTATCATGGCAAAATTGCAGCATTAAACATATGCGGTAAAGAAACTCCTTTGAAGACTGTACCATTCTTCTGGACAAATTTACTGGGCAAAAATTACAGATACGCAGGTAATACAATTTTTCGAAAATATAATTGTTGAATTTGATAAAATGTTAAAAATCCAATTAAGAATTTTTAAATTTTATTTTTAGGCCATGGAAAGCCCACCAGCATAAAAATTTATGGTTCGTTGGATAAACTGGAATTTTTTGCTTATTATCTCAAGAATGGCAAGGTAATAGGAATAAGCAGTGTTAATGCTGATCCTGTCGTATCAGATTTTGCAAATATGCTTTATGAAGAAAGAACGTTAACAGAAGAAGAAATTAATACGGATCCATTCGGTTGGATGGAAAATAAACCAAAGGATGTTTCAAAACGGTTTCAGGACAGCATTTTAGTAGAAGTGCAGGCTTAAACTTGTTCTGCATAAATATAATTTAGCGCTTTGGAACAATAATGTCACAGTATTAATTTTTTAATTTATACACTTTCATAATGCAAGTTAGATAAATTGGTGTAATATATTCTATATATATTCTATTTGAAAAATACTTTGTAAAATATACTTTAGATTGTACTTACTATATAAAATGTTGCAAAGAAAAAAATTATATTACATTTTTGACATTCATTTAATTTGCAAGGATCTAAAGCAATTTACGAAATAATAGTGTGTCCAGATATTAGAGCATTTAATCCCATGCTTCTGTAACTCTCATATGACATAAACGTTCGGCAATAGTAATTTCTTTTTGAAACTTTTGTCTGTGTTCTGCATATATCTTGGTGAGAAACTTGTCTTTCCTCGATTGCTTTGTTTCTCCCGTGTGACCATGACTTTGTTGAAGTGTAATATAGGGATGCCGTAGGATTAACATGTTTCTTTCTTCCCTTTCAAAGTCATGCTTCATGTTAAATAAATCTTGCAAAGTTGGTTTCTTAACTTTGCGGTATTTCCTGTATGATATAAAATAATGATTGATAAAATAATGTATCTATGAAATGATAAAAAAGTAATATATTGCCATTTAAGCACAAGTTTCTGTTAAATAATACGAGATACTTTTTATGGAGAACAAAAGTTAGTACTCACCCTCTAAATCTATACGGTATCTTAGTAATAGCGAACAGAACTGATCCAAGCCTCATTGTGTATGTGTAATTCAGATATCATAAACTGTTAATGTATAAACATTTATAAATATATGTCCAGATTATTATTGTAGGTTAAGTTAGATCACTGGTAAAATGTTAGTGAAGATTGGTAATCTTACGGGAACTATAATATCACCACGTTAACGCCCTCTGGAGAGGCAAATGTTAAATAAGAATTACTTCAAAGAAATAAAATTATGTAGATAGGTAGACTAACATCGGTGTGTGAATTAGATATTACAAGATTTATTAGTATTACAGCTAAAGTGGACGAGGTACAGACATTGCTCTGTTCTGCAGTAGTAAGAATCAATTTTTCTACAATACAAATATTATAATATTCTGAGAACACAGTCGATATTTTACAGTAATGTTCTTCCTTCTCATGTATGTATGACATGAAAAGCCAGTTTGTGCTTCGTATTAAATTATCACGTATTTAATTTAGTTAAAATGGAAATCAAATGTGGCACACAACTCACCGTCTATTAATATTAACAGCACTTAACCTGTCGGATTAATGTGTAGCAACCTGTTAGATCAATCCTCAGTAGCAAATTTAACTGCTTCAATACTTAGTAGAAGCTTTTTTTTCACTAAAGATGTGAGACTAAAGTTACATTAAAAAAAGGAATTATGTTGAGTATTTTGACTATTAATTGGCATAGAATTGTGTCCTCTTTGCGCCGGTGGTTGATAGATAGGTTGTGCACTTCGCTGCTGACTTCGTTTTTTATTGTATCCCTTATTCCCACCGGCAGTACCACTTCCGCCTCGTCGAAATTCCATACCTGCTGCAATCATTAATTTTTTTTTTATTTTTTTTTATTAAAATGCATTGATATTAAAATATCTCGAACAAATGTACAAAAAACTTGTAAATATAATTTAATATTTTTTTACTCACCATTTATATGATTGTGGCCCTGATCATAACGAGGATGTCGATTGTTAGTACGCTGATCTTGCCGTCTTATATCCGGAGCATGATCCTGAATCTGATACTGTCACAAGAAAAATTATTATAAGCATATCGACATCAATATTTATACTCTTTTGCAATTTTACATACGTCATCTGTTATTGGTATGCAGTCTGCCTGAAGCACTTCCTCATAGTTCTCGAATCCCTTAAATTGCACTACACAAGTTCTCTCGGAAACACCAGTAACTTCAGCATTGTAATACTAAAAATTTGGTGCAAAAATATTAAATAACTCTTACGCTTAATGACGTGTCAATGATGTAAAAAAAGATTGTACTTACCCTGTTATCTTCCCAATATTTGGCCATACACTTATCACCTACTCGCCATACCCACGTATTCGCAGATGTGTTGGTATTTTGATTGCTGTAATAGTTTTCGCTTCTTTGCATATTGGGATTCATAGACATCCGGTTCCCAGGATTAGTATTTGGTTGATATCTAAATTGATTCTTAAAATTTTGTTCGGTTGTATTGGAGGAATACACCTTAGAAGTACCATTTTGTTGCATCCGATTATGCCTGTCGTGAGAAACATCGTACGGATGCCTATTTTTCGCCTCAGCATCAACATCATGGGTTCTTTTACTACCAAAATTCTTTCCCTGCAGTTCAGTCTGATTTTTGTTATAGTTCTCATTACCGCTGCCACTGGCATTTACATTACTTGCGCGCATATTTCTATAATCGTTCGGCTGAGAGAATTTTTGCGCTTCTCTACCTCCATCGTGTTGATATTGATGCTGAAACTCTTGATTGCGCTGGAATCTCGGTGGCTTATTTTGCTGTGCATGACTAGCTCCGTTGTATTGCGAATACATGGTGGAATTGCTATTATTCGTACGTTTATTGTTTTTATGCTCCTCCTGCATCTGGGAGTATCTGGGGGGAGGTTGATAGGATCCGCGACCTCCTTTTTGACTTCTATAAAAATCGATATTAGAAGAACCAATACTTTGTTAAAACAATTCCACCCTATAAAGTAGTTACATACCGTCCGCCTCTTCCACTTTGTGTATCGATACCCTTAGATTCAAGACGATCTTGATTACTTTCGTTGTACTGCGCAAAATTATTTTGTGCTGAAATGGTTGTTTCAACACTTTCAGCCTGCACAGGCAGCTTATCTTCAAGAAAGTCGAATAAGGATATTTTTCCACTGCTAGGTTTACTCTCCTCGGTCTTCTTGTCGAATCGCTTGCCACGTGGCTCTCGCGATTCTCGAGATTCCTTAGCGCTATCGTAAAAAGATTATAATTTGATGGCAGAGTAAAAAAGAAAAAAAGAGAAAAAAAGAAACAAACTTACTTATGTTTATAGTCAGTTTTCTGCAAGCTTTTTAAAGCTTTATCCACATTATTTCTATTGACCCTCAAAGCATACTCAGCTTGCTCTACGGTAAATCCTCGATCTACAATTTTCTGAACGCTATGATCTAATAGCTGTGAAAAATATAAATTTTTAAATATTATTCATATAAATATTTGAGTTAAATATAAAAATGAGTTACAAACCTGCTTATTTCCGCCACCAAATACTTTTTTACAGCCTTGTTTGGCAGCTTCCGCTATTGCATCTTTACGTTGAGTCTCAAATTCGCTATTCTCTTTGCCAGTTTTTTCCTTTTCTACCAGAGCTTTAAAGTTTTTATCTTGCTCTGAAACTTTTATAATCTTTTTGCCAAATGGAATCCATGGTGGTGGTCCGCCTTCTTCAGCAGATCTTACCCGGGTGTGTAAAGCCAATTTCTATAACAAAAATATTTGCATTAATTAAATAAAATTATATTTAATTATTGTATATATTAAATTAGAATGCTTATTATTACTATTATCCTAACTAAAATAGTTTATATCCATTAAATAAAATATTGTTTACCTTATTTAATTCCCATTTTTCCACTAGATTATTAACTCTTCCTCCAAGCACATGAATTATATGTGACGGTATTATTAAAAAGATTCCATGTGATGTAGGTAAACCTCCTGACTTTACTAATATCTTTGTACCAGGTGGTGTGTTTAAGCTAAAAGCACATAAAATTACTATAAGATAAAAATTAAAAAGAAATACAAAAAGTAATACAACTTGATATACTTACTTTAAAGCTGATATATGATCAACTTCTAAAGCTTGAAAATTATTTTTTCCATCAGTCATTGATAATTTTAACATTCGTGGTACTGCTTTTGATTCCTCATTTCCCTTAGGTGTAGAGATATTACGTATTTTTTGTATTTGCAACACGATATTTCCCTGATGGATATCGCCATTCCCACTACCAATTTCTCTTAAATCAAGCTGCAAATAGTTCAATTTTTTAAATATATTTTTTCCCAACCAATATCTACTTTGCTGAATTTTAATAATAATAATAATTCTAACAATTTGTCTGTGGATAATTGCATAATACGTACATCTAACAATCGTTTTATTATCCTTTGCGTATCAACTATGTTTCCTGAATCAGTCGCTGCACTATAACCATGATCGGACAGGTACCTAATAAAAAAGAAAATTAGTTAAATAAAAATTATAAATTATAAAGGCTGTAATGATTCGAAATTAAAAAGTGAAGAAGCGACAATAGCCGATTTTTCAAGGACGAACGCAAAAAGGACTTTTATTAAAATTACAAAATATAGAAAACAAATGTTTTGATGACAGGTTGAAATGTTTGTATGTTTTATAATTTCAGTACATGTCCTTTTCGCACAAAAAACCGGCTTTAGATCTTTTCGCTCCTTCGCTTTTTAATTAGTTAAATAAAATAATTAGAAATATTTATCAGACTTGAAATAATCGTGAATTGTCTAATTTTTAAGAGTAAAAGTATGAATTTCTCTTTAGCAAAGTCAGCAAGTGGCACAATGTTGAGTGTACTTTACTCACCATCCCAACGCTTCCAAGTTCTCCATGTCTGTACCTGGTTTTCTCTTTATTCGATAAAAATTGTTCACGTTTCATTGGATCGATGCAGCTGTCGAGCGTAAAGCGTTATTGCATACTGTTCGTGGCTTACAACGCGTTGCAACGCGTTACAAACGATGTATGCATCTGAACGTATACAAACATCTAACAGCTGACACGTTAAACCACGAGCTATCGCAGCAAGCCGTTCGAACAACAATTCGACCAAATATTTCGATTTCACCAAAACAATCACAAGCAGAAGCTATCACACGAAATAACGTTGCGCTGGTGCGGCGATTATAATTACTCGGACAAGAGAACCGCACCTATCTACCTTGAAAATACTCGTCGCCATTTTGCACCCTAAACATCGTGCGTTTGTTTCTCAATAGATACCGCTGGGATCGTCTACGCGAGTGATTTAAAATAAATTTCTTTCATGTTATTTATAACTTATGTTTATTGTAATATTTAATCGCGATCCTTATGATTAAGTAAGCCAGATTTTCTTACTTTTATATATACATTCTCCAAAATGAATCAACAATAATTGTGTCATTATATTAGTGTTTAGATAATGAAGCGCTTCCAGGTTTTTAAAATCTATTTTATATAATTTATAACACGCAACAAATTGTATAAAAAAATAATATTATGTTTTTGAAATATGAAAAATATCTTACAAGTAGAATTAATTTATGTGGATAAAGTGTGTTATATTAAATATTCTTTTGTAAAGCCAATACATATAAAAAAAATGACAAAAATTACAAATATATTACTTTGCGTAATATTCGCAAAATTAACGTACAACGATGGTTTCATTAAAACTCTTAAAGCCTGAATGCCGATTATTTCAATTAGGGCCAACGATTATTGCTTGGGTGGAGTAGTTACTAAACAAACGTTGGAATTACCGCTATCAAATGCGAATTAACTTTGGAGATGACGGAAGCACGTGATATGCGTGTTACAAATAGTCAAGACCCACCCACGTTTAATCTCACTTCACATTTGATAAAATGCACCCTCAATAATCAATGTAATTGATGTAACTCAACAATTAATTGTTTCTTGAAATTATACAATCGTTATAATTGTGTAAATAATATAAAAAAGAAATATAAAAGCGTATTAATGTAAGAAAAATACTTTAGACTAAATCGGACAATTTCTTTATCAGAAACATTCTACAAAGAGTATTAGAATAATAATTATATATTAATAATAATTAAAAATTAAAAAGATATAAGGCTCATATGATTTTCAAAATCAAAATTATTAAACAGGAGCGTAAAGAGCCAAAAAGCAAGTTGATCGTGCAATAGTGTATTACTTAATTTACATTATCGTAGAATATAAACGTTTAATAATAATTATATATTAATGGGTGGAAAAAGTTATGATTCAAAAAAGTTGAAGAAAAGTAAAAAAAGTAAAGGAATTTTTGATTCCTAAATTAAATTAATTAAAAATGTCCCTTTACTTTTCGACTTTTTTTCGTGTTTCGCGTAATAATTGAATAATTGAATAATAGAGTGTCCGCTTAGATCTCCCCATATAACTCGCTTAAGATTCCGTGCAATGAAAGTGAGACAACGCTATACTTCTTTCAGCGACGAGTGTTATCGAGGAATGTCGCGACAGAAATTATCAAAACAATTATGTTAACGATTATCTTTTGCAAACGATAGATGACTTGATTATCGCATTTGCATTCCGGATCGAAAATGGAGCTCGAGAAGAGGCCCCATAACATTGTGTGCGTGTGCGCACGCGCGCATATTTGAGCATGCGTCTCCTGTATATGTACCAAACGCAATTCCCCATTTTCATTGGACCCCATCATAGATTTTCTTCGTGCTTCAACTCGTATATACAACGGCTCGCACTATAGTTAGACCGTGATAGTAGTAACGTATACGCGACGCGTATGCCACAGTGAACGATAACTTGTTGAGAGAGACTATAGTATAAAAGCGATTGGGAAGGGAGCAGGAGAAAAATAGTAGGACGGAGACGGAAAGAGAGAGTGAACGAGACAGAAGTTCGCTCGGTCTTACCATTTCAGTTTCACTCCGACTCGGCCTGAAATCGCATGTGTTCACGCTGATCGTCCGGCACTAGACGCCTTATACGAAATTCCCTCGCCGAAAACGAAACACGAATGCGATCGTCGTCGATGGTCCATTGAGTCCTTTCCAGTGCGCACGCAATTCATCGCTTGGCATCTTCGAAACTAGGGAAGCTCTCCGCGGAAAGAAAGGAATTATTTGTTTTCCCGCCGCTTACCGCCGAATGGAGAAAGGATTCACGCCTGGGATCAGCGTAAGTAGAAATGTTGAGCAATCGATCGGCGTCGGTTAGAGGATATCGTAGCACCGCGACTCGCATGAAAACGGTTTTTCTTCTCCCTCGATTGACGTAGAGACGCCAGGACGCATCGCGGTGATTCATCGCAGAAGTTACCGCCATTTACGCTCAACGCGTCGCAGTTTCATAATTATACGAATCTGATATTTTGATAAGTTTCTGCTTTGCAAAAAGTTGAAGTTTTAGTTAAAGGAGAAAATCCTGTTTCGCGAGTTTTTAATTTTTTAAATTAACACGCACAAACAAGGAAATTGATATGAAAATGACATCGCTAACATACAGTCCATACAGCACAAAACATCCTCAGGATATCCTCAGGACATCGAGGATATTTCGGTGTCCGAAGGATGTTCTGAGGACATTGAGATCTCCCTAAGATGTCCTAAGGATATGTAGGATATTTTGTGCTGTATGAGAGTCTGACTAATTTCATTTTCAAAGTAAATTACCCGTATATCTTATTAGATTAAATTGTTGTTTTATCATAATATTGTTCTGAGGTCATGAATCAGAAAGGAAGTATAATTAAAGATAATCTAGTTCGTTAAGGAAATAATATGTAGCTTAACTTGCGCCTACGTTCGTCGAATAATATCAATTCATGAAGTGGTCGGACGAGAAGACAGAAACTTTCTTAGTTAATGTGCTAATTTAATTTACATACACGTGAATGAACTTGATGGCTAATAAGCGAGAAAGTTGCTGACAATAAGAGCCGCAAAATTTCGCCAGTTTATATTTTTAAATATTTTGATACACACATATTTTCTATCAGTAACAATAAGAAGCTAATTAAATCAGTTATCATGATTTATAAATGCGGCACAAAGATAAGTGCCATTATTCCTTAATTATTCTGTTTAATTTTAAATGTATTTATTTTTAAATATTATAAAAAGCAGTATATTTATTTTTTTTATTTGATAAACGTGCAATTATATTTAAAAGAAAATTTCACAGAAAGATGTTATATTTTATCGAAATATAAGACGAATACATTTTAATATGTAGCGCTGCTACGTGACTCGAATCGTTAAAAGATTCTTTATAGAGCCTTTCTAAAACTAGATTTAGGTAGAGAGACTCTTGTGCGCATTTACATTATATGCCTTCAACTATTCCGGTATATTAAAGAAAAATCAATAAAAACCTGTTTTAAAATGTAAAATATATTTATAGATTTGTTGTTGTACCACAAGAACATTCGATATAATGTTCCAAATTTTGCAGATTTTGCGGTTCTGTCAGCAGTTATGTCAAATATGCAAGCGTCATCTATTAAAAAATAATTATGATGAGAAATTTCACTCGCGCGCGATATATTTTGTCCTAAATTCGTGAGAGCATTGAAATCATTTGGCGGATCTCCGTGTAACTTCGAGATGTAACGCGCCGATTTTTATATTACTAGCCGATGTTACCGACTTCCCCTCCCGACGCGATGTTTACAAAAATTATCGTAAATCTCACGAAGATGAATGCTCGTACATCGTAGAAGCAACGATTGTACACAAGGGTGTCGCACGGCGTCGGTTTCGTTTTCGTTGAAACGCGCTCCGATTGCACGTATCAGTTTGCGCATAGCTTATAAGTTCAGTTTTCATAAACTCAGCGTGAGTATGAAAGGAACAGTTGAACAGGGATCGTCGTAGTACTACTTGGAAGAATGAAGCTCGGCGACCTCGCGCCAAGATTAACTTTCGATTTATCGGGGGCTTCAATCTCTTCCTTCTTCCTACACGCTCTTCCTGTTTCTACGGACATTCCCGGCATTTCTTGTCAACAATTTGTGAACAATCGTTCACAATTCTGCCAAGATTGTTTGCAGATATACGCATACATGTAACTATTTTTAGCACATGTAAGAGAAGTGTTTCGCATCACGCGGATAAATACGTGATTGTTCGCTGAGACACGTGGATGCTGATTTCTCGCGAATGTGAAAGGCGTCGTGTTTATCTCGCGGTAGAAACTCTGAAAATAATTCTATACAAATAAAGTTTCGCGCTTGTGTTCCTCTGCGTTTAAATAGACGCGGGATTGACGGCCGCGGAATCGTCCAAGTGTTACTCTGACATTGCGTGTTTAAGGAAGAGCAAATAAATGGTATATTTGTTGCTTCATTGCCTTAAGGGAAAGACGCCGCTTCACCCGATAACTCGCAATAAAGCGAACTACATACTTCAGCATTCTACGCTACGACGTTTTTAACTGATGAAGTCAGAGATTGTTACTCAGATTGCATCGACACTTCTACGCCGAGATCCAGTAATTTATTTAACAAGCGCGAGTCACTTTTAAGCACACATTTTCCAACAAAGTTTCGCGACTATTGACTTGCAAATTAATTCTTAAAACGCGCATCTTTGTGTACAAGATATTCCAGACGTAGTTTTGAGCCATTCTTTTTGAATTTTTGATTAATCTCTCGAATCCAAGGTGGCTTTGAAAAAAATTGATTTACCTTCGTAACTTGTTGATACAACACTTCCTCGGCTTTTTCTGGGTCACTCTATATAAACCAGGATGTAGATTCTCTCATGACTTCATTCCACTTCGTGGAATAACAAGTAATCGGATGCTGTTAACATACAGAAAAGCAACCTCAACAAGATAAACTTTGAAAAAGATCTCGACATCATCTTTGCGTATGACGTCATCCGCGATATGCAAGGCTGCAAGGTGCGAGCATCATCGCGTCATTTTTGCGTCTCGCGCTGACCGTGGATTACTTAATCTGCGAAGGGAGAAGCCACTTTCTCTCTCGGTCTCAACGTGTTTTTCGAGGCAGTATGCTGGTGCGTGACCGAGGTCTACGTTACAACGCGTTACAAAACACGGGAGGCTTATGTGAGTGCGGTATGCTATATCGTGCGGAGCGATAGCAATCATTGTGCGCGTTAACCTGAATCGTTTCCTTCAGGATCGCACTGCGTCAATAAATGTAGAACGACGTGTACGTTCTTATGACAGGTGAAACGTGTCTTCCAGCGATGAAGCGTTACGCGAGTGTTCCAGAAATTGATCGCGCCTCCATCCGGTGCCGCGACATAAATATCGAAGCTGCCGAACGACATTGTACCACCGGAATCCTATTACGTGTTCGATGAACAATAACGAGTAATTGTGCCGTGTGCGTAGTATTTTCAAAACAGGAAGTTGCCCGGAGTTTTCCGAGCCGTGAAAACTCGCATTGATCACGAAGGCCCGTTTATCCTCTTGACTCGTAAACAGTTATTAGAATGCCAGGTTAATGAGTGTGAAACACTACGTAACGCGAGCGCGAGACGCACTCGAATAAATTAGATTTCAATCTAAGTCGTAAAAAGTCGTAACGAGACTCTGAAGTGTAAACAGTTGAAAAAAATTGAAGTAAAATCCATCTGAAATTAGACAATGAATGAAACATTCAAATTTAACTTTACATAATTATTTAATCCAATTAAAGAAGTAAGTTTTCTGAATTTTTAAATCTCCTTTTTATCATCCTGTGCATAATAAGTTTTATCGTCTCGATCTTGAAACCCCGTGAAACCAAAGAAGGTCCGACGCCTATGAATACGGTCAGGGTTACGGTGTATGATCAAGGTGTTTCAAACTAGGTCAAACATAAGTCTGATGTCATCGAGATGTATGACATAATTAAAAACGATGATACGTGACTGTAATGAAAATTCGGCTAATTACGTTCGTCTCGCAGCCTTCGAGCCATTTAATAATATTACGTTTACGAGACGGAGCAAAAATAATAACACCGAAGGTGTAAAATAACATAATAGACTGAGACAAAAAAAGAAAGACAAAAGTACAAGGCAAAAATTTGACTATTAATTTTTACAAGAGGAAAGTGTGCAAATTCTGCTTGGAATAAAATTTGCAAATTTTAATTCGTTATGCAAAATAGCGTGGAAACAATCGCAAAGCTATAATAAAAAGTGGCAAGCACTTAGCAAAATATCAAAGCTTCATCTTTATAACATTCTTGCATTTTATTGATAATTTTATTATTGGGTTTGTTAACAGATTAACACAGGCGAGATGTCAGAATACGAAGCGGAGATAGAGTTTTGCGGTCAATTCATGAAATATGGCTTATTGCTCATGAACTTGATTATCTTCGTAAGTTATACCTTATTAAAAATGCAATATATTTATACAATAATGCATACATGGAAATTAAATATTAATCTGCACTCTAGATTGGAGGGGCTGGCATAACGGCCTTAGCCGCATTGGCCCTAGATGACAAAATACCAGCGATAGGTGAACTCGTAGGGAACGATCTACTAACCGGTGCGGTTTACGTCTTGCTAGTTGGCGGGATCGTCGTGGCGTTTATAGCCTTCTTCGGATGTATCGGTGCATCGCGTGAAGTCAAGTGTATGATTCTGACAGTAAGTATCAAGCATTCACTTCCATCCGATAATCGATATCTCAGCATCATGTTGTTCGGTAAACTTTGCATTGAATTGATGCCGGAAAAAACTATGAATTAATCTCACAGAAACAAATTAATCGAAAAGAAAATTTAATTATTTATTCACGCAGCTTTTTATTCACTCTCGAAGCTTCGAAAACTCATTAATTCGACCCGTCTTTTTCAGTACTTCATAGTCATGCTTCTGCTGTTCGTCACCATGATCATTGGCGGCGTTCTCGGATACGTTTTCCGCGAAAAGTTGCTGAACGTCGACAAAGAGATGAAGAGTTCCATCCGATCTTACGATAGTTACAAGTCCATTCGGGACGCCTGGGACATCACGCAATCAACGGTGAGTAATTTCCGGAAAATTTTATCATCTTACATCGAGTATGTTTTTTGCCGCTGCGTCGAATCCAATTATGATTCAAAATTTTCCGTAGCTAATTTAACTCTGAATCTTTTAGCACCACTGTTGCGGCGTTGACAGCTGGAGGAATTGGGGAAAGTATGGTCTTAACGTGCCCGAGAGCTGTTGCCGAGAAATTCTACCTGGCCAGGTAAAAATCAATTATCTTTCTCAACGCGGCTGTGCGTAGCTTGATGAAATAGTCGGCTGCGCGTCCGCGCAAGTAATGACGGCAATGCACTACGTACGTGCATTTCATACTGTAATACGCGTTTGCACATACGGCAACAATTACGATGTCTCTCCGTTGCTTAATGACTCTCGCCGAGTTCTGTCAAATCGAATCTTAATATCTAGAAGTAGAATTCCGCTTGACCTTTGTGCAAAAGCGGGACTTGTGCGGTAAAATCGGCAGACCGAGAGTTTTCGGGATCCATGAGTCCGAGTGGCGATTCGCAAATCGGCGCGAATAATTGTTCGCGGTTTGAGTGATGTCGTCGCGATTCCGAAACGTTCACGATCCGCCAATTTCCTTCGGCAACGCCGAAGACCATCAATTTGGCCGCAATTACTTAATCGGCCCCGAGTCCTAACCGCCTTGTCTTGTCCTCTCACGCTTTCACTCCGCCGATCGGCTTTCTCGCGAGCCGTGTTTCTCATGGCCGTCTATCTGCTTGCAGCGATTTAACTGCAACAGCGGCTCGGACACGATGAATCCTTCGAACGCTTACGTGGAGGGTTGCATCAACGGAACTAATTACAACCTGCACGTGCACTCAAAGTTTATAGGCGGCGCTAGTCTTGGACTCGGATGCATGATGGTAAGGGTGCAGTTTGCATTTTTATGAATCTCTTGAAATCTAAGAGGAAGCATCAGCGTTAGAAAATATCTAGCAAATATTCCTTCTAGAATTGAATTATAAAATACACGAATTACTTTTCTTTTGTTATTTTCTTTTCAAAAAATCGTTTCTGTGACTAGCGTTTTCACATCTTTGCGTTTAAATATATATTTCTTATTTGTTACGCAGTTATTTTGATTTGTATTTTTCAACTTGCAGTTCTTTGCTATAATTATGTCTTGCGTGCTCTTCAAACGATCCAATGACAGGAGGAGTACTTAGATGGAGGCTGCTCTCCGTAAGAAAGTACGGGAAGGAGGTGGGTTTTCGAAATCCTTAGGGGATTTTTTCATACAATTTCATCGATTACTCGTCGCTGTAAGCGCACCTGATCACACCGTGATAATCAAACGAACAAATCTCTATCCGATTGTACAGTTCTCGCCAATTTGTTACATGAATATAGCATTGTATCATGATTATCATTATTCTTTATATTTTGGTATATAATTTATACGTGTAAGATTATTTTCGATTTAGTTGCGTGTGTCATGAGTACGTTAATGTATCGAGTACCTTATATATGTGCCGTAACAAATGCATATGTATATTATGCATCTGTCAATCCTTTCGGTAATTATTGTCGATCAATACCGAGTGAAGTAATGTGTAAAAATTAATTTTTCCAGCGATCACTTTTCTTCACGTTCCATTAGTTATACGATAGTTCCGATTCTTCATTTATCATCAGGAAATATAAATTCTATCGAATAAAAATAACAAGATGCTTAATTATATAAAGAATATATTGTAAGATTAAATATGTAATGTGTATTTTATATGTAACATTTATTATATATATAAATTCTATCGAATGAAAATAACAAGATGCTTAATTATATAAAGAATATATTGTAAGATTAAGTGTGTAATGTGTATTTGATATGTAACATTTCTTATATATATGCATTTTATGTAGTAATTCTATATAACATTTTCATGAATTGTGTTGATATTATATGTGTGTTTCTATATGATATTATAAACAACAGATTAATGGGTTCCGCTGTGTATTTGTCTGGATTTTATTCACCCCTCTGTTGTTTGCAACTGTGCACCTCCGCTGTATTAAAGCACGACGAGTCGTTATAATCCGGGCGTTTCGCTAAAGTGAACTACCTCATCGCCGTCGTCTATCAATTCCCTTTCTATTCTTCTAGTGATTATCGATTGTTGCAATCCGCATACCGAGACGGTACAACCGTCCTCAAAATTTCATCCAGATTTGCGTGGATTTCACGCCCGATTAAGTGAAATCCAAAAACGCGTCAAGTAACGCAACTTACACACAATTATTATAATTATAAATTTTTAAGCAAGAATATTCTATTTCTATCTTTGTTAATTCTTAAGCTAAAGCTCTGAAAGCCACAAGTTTTGCTTGCACAGTAAAATTTCCAGCGAAGAAATGTAAATTCAGACATAAGCGGTAAATTGAGTAGATTAAGTAATATTCATTTTGTCAATGTACGCCTGACGAGCTCGCTCGACTGCGTAATTTTCTGCGAGTATATCAAGAGTATGATAATGGCTACCCCTTAGGTTTATTCACCCCAGTATGCGTCAGCTGTACGCATGTCCTCGCGATGAGGCGTGACTCGCTGCCATTCCACGGGAACGTCTCATCGAATCGCACGCAATTCTCCATCGTTCGCCCCCC